ATTAGAAGCATAACCAAAAATTGTGAAAGGTTCAGATTAAAAAGCTAGAAAGTTTTATGGAATTTCGTAAAATTTTCTAAATTTTGTGTAAAGTTTGAAACCTTTATTTATACGCTTTTTGTTTAAGCTTGGGAAATATTTTTGTTGGAAAATTACAAAAAAAAATTTATCTTGAAGTACTTCGTAACTATTTAAAATAAATTATCACGTGAACACTTTCACTTAAGTCACTGTAAGTATGTTGTAAATATTTTTTTAAGTACGTTGTACATACATGTGTATATGTTGAGAAAGCGGGGCGCTTTTCGCTAAGGATAATTTGATGTTTAGATTTATTGCATGCATACCACGCATGCATACCAACATACATACATACATATGTGCATACACCCAAGCATACTACTCAAATCACATGTGCTTGTAATAAGCATTTATAGCTGCCGGGGTAAAGTGAATTAGTGTCGCGGTTCTTATCCAGTGGGGACACATGTGTACAAACATAATTTGCTGTTCTTAGTTGAGTTAGATTTTCAATGAAGCACTTACGTGTGTGTTTTATTTCATAAAGATTAGAGCTAAGATTGACTAACCGAATAATCCGAATATTCGAATATGAATAAAAAATACGAATATTCTATATATGCGCACACCCGGATATATGAATGTAAAAATTAACAATAAACTAACAATTGTTAGTTGGAAATTATGCAATTTGACAAACTCCAAATTGAGTTTAGGCACATTGTTTCTTAGGTAAATTTGCTATGCTGTACGCGGATAGTAAAAAAGAATTACCTGCCCTAATGTGTAGGTATATTACCGTTAAAAATAAAAAAGAGTTATGCCTTCTGTGCTATATGCGTATAGTCGAAAAAATCGTCCATACAAATTGCCCCGCCCTAATATACATATAGATATTTATATTTCAATATATTTTTCCGTATGAATTGAGTTTATTTTCTTTTTGTGTTGTGAAAATAACCACTACTTTATCTTTTTATTACAGGTAAGCTGAAATACTTCTCAGGAATCCTTTGAATTTGAAATGACAATCTTGGTAAGCAAAATACGAATTGAAAATTTATTTTATGAAAAAAATCGGCATTGTGCACTTGGCGTGCTTGCGTTCTTCCAGTGCGTTAAAGTTGCGATCCGAAGTAAATATAAGGCATTCCTCGTCTAATCGCATACCTTTTGGATTTTGCATCTCCAATTGTTTGCATAATTTTCTATGTCATAATACCAACTGAGAGAGGCCTCCCTGATGTTAATTTAATTTTTTTTGTCCAGCGGTTTTTGAGATATCGATTTTTGAAAAAAAAACTTTGGGTTTCTAAATGCCCATAATATTGCGTAAAATGGGCGCATTATGACCATTTGGTTGTAAACTTTTTCCAACCAATTTTGGAATTTAAAATCGGAAAAATTTACAAACCGTATTTCTATAAAATTTTCACATTTTTTCAGTATATAATGTTGACTTCCAAAAAAGAGCACTTATCGGCAATTAAGAAAATTTTTTCTAAAACATTTTCACTCATTGCACAACTTTTATGCCAAATCCGATAATGAAATAACGAAGGGATCTATTTTTCGAGTTTTTAAATTATAAAAAAAACTAAGTAAATTTGTCCTACTCAACGGGGAAGGAGTAGTGGCTCTCCACAGCGTTTAGGAAGAGAATTTCCTCTTCTAAATAAAATGTGGTTTTATCTTTTTTATTACCGCATTTGATTTGACGTATCAGAGTTCTTGGTGTTGAATTAGACAAAGTTTTTTAGTTATGCGCTAGTTTAAAAATTCGAAAAAAATATCCCATTGTTATGCAATTATCGGAGAAGGCTAAGAAGTTGATGATTGAGTGACATTAAAAAATAAATAAATTAATAAAATCTATCAGTACTTGTTTTTTGGAAATCAACATTTTATACTGAAAATTTTAAAATTTTATAGAAAAGCGGTCCTGAAATTTTTTCGATTTCGTTTTGCAGAAGTTTTTTAAAATGTAAACTTTTAAAATAAGATCCTATTCTGCACATTTTTCGCAAAGTTATGGGCATTTCCAAATACTCGTATCCCAAAAAAAACTTGAAAAAATTAAATCAGGGAGGCCTCCCTCAATTAGTACTATAGCGTGCAAATTATCTATAGAATCGGAGATACGAAAGCCAAGTAGTGTCCAATTTGGCGTGAAATGCCCCATACGAATACATATACATGTATATGTAGCAATACATAATCATTTTTCATTAAAGAAATATCCTACGTGAATTTACTCAAAATTTAATTCCAAATGAAATCTCCCCTAATTTCTTCACTCGCACCACCTACATACTTTTATTTGTTTACCCCCAAAAATTTCACATACGCATACTATGTGTGAGACTGTTTTGGCATTTCTCCTGCTGACAATATGCGACAGCCGCAATGCTAAAGTGAGTAATGGTAGAAGGCATAACGAGTGATTGATGAGCATTTATTATTAAATACTGTGTTGAAAGGAGGCGGCAGGCTGACGGAAAGAGGACACAAACAAGCCGCGATACGCGCAAAACAAAGTGACAGAAATGCTGAAACAATAGACTTGCTGCCACAACAATGGTGAAGGAAGTGGGTAAATGTGTGTGTATGTTGGAAAATTTAACCATGGAAGTTGGATTCTTGTGTTTTTATTTATATGATAAGTATGGAAAAAAATCCACATTTAAATTCAAATATGTTTTAATTGTGTTAAAATAAAATAAAATAAATTAAATTAAATTGCATAAAATTAAATTGCATAAAATAAAATAAAATAAAACAAAATAAAATAAAATAAAATAAAAT